TTTTCAATTTGGCACTTTCTTATTTTTTACGATAAAAAATCATGAAAATCAAAAATTGAAATCAATTTTCAATTTTTGATTTTAGACGAAAATTGAATGAACGAATGAGCCACGGAGCGGGATGCCAGTCCATCGCAGGGTTCCCCCCGGTATTAAATTTACCCGGTACTTCTTCAATACTGCTAAAAGTTTGCGTGTCATTTTGCAGCTTCCACAGGAGAGAGCCAAGCAGATATTTTGAAGGAGGTCGAGGACGGTATGTAGATTCTCGAACAATTATATGTTATTGATCAGATTTTCATTGTTTCTCCGGATGTAACATGTTTGGAGAGAAAATTGAAAAAAAAAATGATTCAAAACGTGCCTTTAATTAATCTAAAGAAGGCTTACGGTTGTGGTTGACTTACATTTCACGTGCAGAAAGGACGATCTACCTGATATGATCTTGCAAAATCGAGAAGTAGGCGTTGTTCAACAAATGAAATGATATGCATTTTCAGTTATGAATTCTACTGTTCAGTCCTTTAAGCAATAGCTCTTAATCCATTTTAAGCTTTCAGAATTGCCCAGAATACAAACAACTCCACATACCTGGAGAAGATCGAAAAAGATATTGAAGACAAAGTGAATATAATAGCTGAATCAGCTTCAGAAAATCCAAAGAAGCCGCCTTCTAAAGCTGGAAAGAGCGATGACAACACACCCATAGACACTGTGGACGATATCGAGATACACACAGAGTCGGACCAACCTGACAAACCGAAAAACACTTTCCATCCGGAAATACACACTGAAAGTGATTTACAGCACGCAGTTAATGGAAAAGATCCCCCTCAAAAGCATCCGAAAGTCAAAGCTGAGGAAAGAACACAGAGAGTGGAGGTCTTGGGTCCAGTGATCGAGCTAAAGAAACCCTCTGATGACGATAAACAAACCGAGATTGACAAAGACATTGTGGTTACGGGAAAGCCTAAACTGAACGGGAAAGTAACGATAGACACCTCTTTTCACTATCAGCATCCACACAAAGGTCATATCAGTGAGAAAAATGAAAAATTCACCGGGTTTAGCATTGACAAGGTAGCACCCGTAAAAAGCCCTTCAAACGCAACTTTTGGGAGCATGCGATTGAAAGCCACTACGCATTCGCGCCAGCACAAAGCTTACCATGATTATTCAGTGGCGCACAAAGTTTTGAACTCAAATATCGAGAAACTGAGAAACGTTTTGAGGGCAATTGAAGATGTACCGGCCAACAACAAAGTCAATGAACAAGGAATTAAGGTGGTAAAGAAAAAATCTGGCAGGTTAGGTGATATTCCTGGGGAAAAGCAGCATTTAAACAACAATCAGCCCAGTTTGCAGCTCAGCGGTACTCCGCAAATCAATAACATCCCTCTCCCTCCTTACTTGCCCCCATTTCCACCGGGGTACAAAGTGCTCAAATCTCAAACCTCTACACAGACGACAGTCACAGGGGTACCAAGTGCTCCTGTCACTCCGCAGCCAGCTGGCAATGCAGCTTCTGTAAATCTCCAGTCTAGAACGTCTCCAATCCAGAATCCGATTGTTGCGGTTAATCCTTTGCAGACCGCACGTGCAAAACAAGTCCAGCTCCCTCAAACCAACAGTATTCCCCTGCGGGCCAAGACAGCCTTGGCGCAAGCTACCGCACCAGGGTTACACGTGATCCAAGGAAATGGAAACCTACCAAATGATAACGCTAATACCCAAGCTTCCTCAGTGTTTGATCACCTTGCCAGTGAACTTGTGGATCATGATGCAGCAAGTCACGTAACTGATCACGCAGCTACCAACCAGATCATTAAAAGTGTTAATGATTGGATGAAGAAGCCCCATCCTGGTAATGAATCTCTTCAGGAGACCTTTAAGGAGTTGAGTCCGGATGAATCTGCCAAGATATGTAAGTTTGTTTTATTGTTCCTACATATTAAATATTGTAAAAAAATCCTGTGGCCCCATTTAGAACTTATCTAACTTTTAAGGTATCAACCTGCAAATTACGACAGGAAATTTTTGTCGTTTTAGAATTGGTACGTATACTTATTGGGGAAGAAAATGAATCGGAGTCACCCCCACAAATTTTCCACGATCATTAAATCAATCTGTACAGAAGTTCACCTCTCTAGTATGCACTACATACACGTCTTCTTTGTTTGTGAACAGTTTACCTTGGTGAGTGTGAGGACAAGTTTCCCAGAGCGTGTGAAGACTGGGCAGCCCAGCGGTATTGTTTGACATTTAGTGAGCTTATGAAGAGATATTGTAGAAAGGCCTGCAAACTGTGTAGTAAGTTGACATTTTTGGCTATCAGTACTCAGCAAAAAACGTAAGCGAGTGAAAATTACAAGAGTAACAAAAGATTCCGTCAGCACCTGATATAAGAAAAAGTGAAAAGGTTGTTAACTGGTTTATTACTCGTTGAATTGTTTTAGAGTTCAGTATGAGTTCATAATTTTGCAGACGTAGTCTTATGGTAGCAATGGTAGCAACTCTATACGTTTCCACGTCTGGTAGACAATTAAACGCAAATAGACTGGTTTCAGTTGTTGCTTGTTTGATGCAGTGGTTCTGATAGCTTTTCTGGCCTTATTTTCAGACCACGTGTTAGCAACAGGTTTTACCTCGTGCGACAAAACATGCGGCGGAGGAGTCAGACTGCGCATGATCAAAGTCAATAACCGCCAAGTTCTGCAGCGAAGGTCTTGCAATATACATAGCTGTCCAAGTAAGAAGAGAGTAAATCGTTTTAATTAATAATTTAATTAATAACCAATAAGTCTGTCTTAAACTCAGAAAAATTCCACATGAAGAATGTGCAAAAAGTACGGTGCTATATGTCTATAATTTTAATTACTGAATGCCCAAAACGAATCTTTAATGTAAACTTGTGGTTCATATGTTCTTCTTATTTTTTTTATGTTATAGTTAATGGAGGTTACACACCTTACTCTAATTGGTCTGAATGTAGCGTGACATGTGGTGAAGGAGTGCGTTACCGACACAGGTCATGTACCAACCCCAGGCCTCAGTTTGGTGGACATGACTGCACGCGCTTTGGAGCTCCCGTTGATACTATGCCATGTGTTAAGGGTTGTAAAGGTATTTTAATGTGCTTCTCTTGAAGTGCTCAAGTATTTGGGAAAAACATCAAAGAGCCTCAGTGTTAGTACTAAGAAAGATAGAAGTGAAAGGTGCATTGTGTAGTGGATTTATTTCTTGAAAAATAAAGTTAACACCTTAGCTATTGCCAGGAGGAATGAGTCGAGGTAGGATTGAGCAAGCGAGTGAGTATGAGGTGAATACAAACTTCTATATGGTAATATCTCGTTCTCAACATTCTGAAGAATACGTCATAATTAACAATATTCGAGGGGACAATGACATTACACGAAACGGGAGAACATCAAGACTGCCAAAAAAGATGCTATAGACAGGTACATTTTTCAAAAACAATATTCGAGAAATTGGTCTTAGCCGAAGCATGATCCAGCAGTAGTGACGTCTTTACCTGTTGGCTAATTGTCAAAATTCTTTTGATTAGGTTTCAAACCTGGAAAGTACCATTCTTCTGCTAATTTGGGTAAGTTTTCTTTGTGACAAGAGACAGCAACGCGCATGCAATTGGCGCGATAACCTTTTCCTGTCTAACTGCGTTCGGTGGCGCGCCATCCCTCGAGTTTTCAAAACAGTTGCATCTCTTTTAATTAGACAGGCAATCCTTTTATTTCTTTCAGGACTGAAGAAAGGGAAACATTACTCGGACTCCAGCTTAAGTATACTTTGTCTTTATTGTTTTTTGTGCATTTACGACACATTTAAGCAGAATTTTATTAGGATTGATACATTTTACAACAGCTAGGAGTCTTTTTATGCAGATCCCGAGGAATTTCCTGAATATAAAGCCGAAGAGTCAAATCCAAAGAACACAGAATCCGGTTAGTTAAACCTTATACTCCACGAGGTTTTCCTTTTGTATGAACTAATGGTTTCTTTCGTTACGTTTGTAATCTTTCAAAACAACAAGACCACCGGTATAACCATCTAATGTTATGCGTCGACGATTAGCACGCGTGCTACATCAGTAGCTTATTCTGGCTGCACACAATGCAAACTTGTGCTATTCAAGAAACAGTAGGCTAAATGAACTTATGGGTGTAGCCTTCTCCCAACCAAGACATAAAAAGATGATATCAACCAGGAAGAAAACAAAATGTAGTATTCTAACCGAGGGTAGCCTTTTCAATTCAGTGATCAAGAAAAGAAAATAAGAGAGAAAATAAACCTAACACTAACTCCAACCCTCTCTTTGACGGTTTGGGCTCGGATTATCATTCTTAGAAAAGATGCATGTATACAGATAGTTAACCTTTCAATATGTATTTCGTGCATGTGTGATGTAAAGTTGGTGAAAGTGATTCTGATTTGGAAAACCAAGACGATCAAGATTCAGGCAGTGCAAATCAACCGTCAGGTAAGCTAGGTTAAAAGCACCATTAAGCACTATTTAGGTTGGTTCTTTGCATTTCATGATACATCAACGACAATCGCGCGTTCAAGGTTTTATTTTCTTATCATTAAAGCTTTTTTTCTTTTGGACCTAAGGCTTAGATTATCTATCGGTAATGAAATAATCAAATTATTTACCTTTAAGAATAAGAGTATTTAGCCGGAAAAGTTTCCTGCTGTCCATTTCATAAAACCGCGAAGTAGATAAACACCATTATACACGGCTAAAGGCAAAATAAGTCACTAAGTGTTAACTTTCGTTTTATTTCAAGACTAAGTGAATGTATTGAGACCACTGATAATTTGTCATTACAGGTTATGGCCAAGAATTCGAATGGCCCAAAAAACACCACCGGCACAAGCCTCTTGTTCTAAAGCACGTACATAAAAATGTATACAAACATCGGGATAACTATGGCAAAGATTATTATCTACACATTGGTAAGTAAGGCCCTTTTTCAATGCTGCTACATCACTTGTATCTATTGATAATAGTCAGGCAGGTGATTGCGTTGCTGCCGTGCCACTGTCGCACCGAATACAAATGAATCCAGCTTGGATTAGAGAAAGGTTCTCTCACGTGCAACTGAATTGCAGTGGTACGCCTTTTAATTTTAAAAGCCAGTAGTTTCTGCCCTCTGCAGCACAACCGTGATCGTATTATTCCCATAACAAAACGAAGGGTGTAAGTTTGATAAAACAAATTATTTTGGATTTTCGTCGAGAGGATTATTCAAGGTCAAACTACGTGGTTCTAAATTGTGTGGCATGTCCAGTTTATTACAGCTTAGTACTATTAGCTCGTATGTGCTGCAACGTTAGACAAGAGGTCAAGTGTTCCCTATGATAATCAATCCAAGTCATTATATAAGACAATGTTGTTCTTTATTTTCCAGATGAAGAACGGAACCCGGAAGATCAATTCCAAACCCACGTGGTACGATACCAGGGACAACAAGGTCAGCCACAGGAAGTCCAAAGTTAATAACAACGTTTAAAGATAGTCGAGATGTAGTAAAGGATATGAACCAATCAGAATTCCATTTTCGCCTCAACCGATTATGCAAAAATAAGGGGTTCGTTTATGACAGAATCCTTTGAATGGAACTTGTGTGGTGTTTGGTGGAATGGGCCAATTTATGTCTAGTTATGTTACCTATAAAACATTGTTATTTACTTATATCAGTGGCAAGGATGCAGTGTGGTCCTTCACGACTGATGCAGTACCAAAAGCACCCACCGAACAGCCCCGTTCCCTTCAAAAGATCGGCAAATCCATATAAAATGTACGACGCCGGAGAGATTGTGTATGACAAAGATGGCGTACCTGCAGATACAACCAAAAATGTCGTGCAAGCATTTGACTCGTAAGTCATTCTGTTTACAGTACTGTACTAGCAATAGAGACAAATCTCGAATAATTTCGCGCTTTGTTAGCCCAAAATATCACCGAAATGTCACCGAAATCGCCGAAATTTCGCTCTGGTTTTTTTATTGTCTCGACATTATTCCGCATGCAGCCCCTATTTCCGTATAAGTGGATCGCGTTGTTTTTGTTTCTTTAGAAATTTTATGATTATCATATCAATGTGTTATCCGAAGCAAATGTTATTATAATCATACTGAATAAAAAACCTGAAATGGGATGTGATGGCCGTTTTGATATTGTCGCAAAAAGAAAAAAATGCTCACAAGGAGATGTCTTCATATTTCTTGGCTTGCTTTGTGTGAAAAAAACAGAATCACAGAGGCAAAGAAAAAAGAAAAAGAAATCAATCATGTTAATTTCTTTCCTCTTCGTAGGCCTTATAAGATCATTCTCCAAAGAAATAAAAACAACGAAATGAAAGTAATGGAACAATGCATAGAGTCAGGTATGCCAGAGTTAAACTCTTCTTTCTTCAAAAGACACTTAATTTAAATTCGCTACATATAGCGTCTATTGCATTTGCGGTTATGTGGAATGCTTACTCGCACGTTCAATTACTCGTCCATTTCGCTTTATATTATTTGAATTTAATTGATATTTTTTGTTTATGACAGTCTCCTTCCTACATTCTTTTTGCAGATGCTTCAGTGAATCCTGAAAATGATTTGAAGTATGGAGCCCAGAATTTTGGTAATAACAGGAATGGGCACTATGTCATGCCTCATGTTATCAACAATATCATAAACAAGATTTCAAAGAAAGTTAAAGTAAACATGTCTTTTGTTTTGAACAGATCCCACTACATTGGCAAGCGAACAACGTTCGCTTCCTGCCACTACAAGACCCTCTACGGAAGGCGAGGCTTCCAACCGCTTCACCGAAAATGGTAAGTGTTGTACCCAAGGAAAGTTACAGTCCCCTTTACTATGGCCTTATCTGGGACATCATTTAACACGATTGGCCAAAGTAATAGCATTGCAAGACCATTGCAAACAAAGTACCGTTGGAAGTAGAGTATATTTTGTTTATTTTAGTTAAGCAAGAATCTTATTTGACTAGTTTGTGTGTCAGATTTGTTTTTTGAGGAGTTTAGTTTCTTGCTGGGACTTGTGACCCTTATGAAAGCGGTGTAAGAGGGAGTTTGAACAAATAACATCCTAGCATCTAATTCTGTATTGATTCCATTCAACATTTATTGAGGACTATCTCCCAAGGTTGCAGGTTACTTTACTAATCTTTTCTTTCCTAAACTCAATGTAAGGTTTATATGAGTACAAGTACCAAGACATTGGACAAGGCGTGGATGAAAAAGGCCTAGGTAAGTAACTGCAACAATTGCAAAGCTTGAACGTGTGAAGACTTTTGCTGGGAAAATCTCTAACTCCGTTTCCTTTACTGCAACCAATCATTTTGCAAACAATATTAACAATAGCAAATGAAAACTAACCAAAGGTTTTCTCTGTAAGAACAAAATCTTTATGTCTATAGACTGACTAAAAACAGAGCATTTTTAGACAGTAACCTGGTAGAACACTTCGCGAGGAAACTGATTATGAAAGATCCTAACCCCACTGCGTTAATGATTAACTAGACAGTGACGTCACTGCTCAGCTGACCAGGGCAATCAAGAACGAAGCCGCTGAAATAAGTCAGAAGTCTTTGAGGAGTCAAGGTACTAACGTCGCTAACTATAACGCAAATGCTCATGTACTTACAAAGTATAGAAACGATATACTAACTATAGGAGTTAACCGTAACATAAATGTTCATTTATCCACAAAGTTTGGAAAAGATAAACTAATTATAGCAATTGGTGTAAATTAGAGTATCATATCTACTAACCAGAGTATATTTATGTATAAAACGACTCGGTAAAAATTGATAAGAAATGTGATTAAAACTGACTCTTTGTTGTTGAATTGAATAGACGCCAAGCCTACTCTTAAAGAGGAACTGGCAGCTGAGAAAGAGGAAGCTTTGAGAGAGAAAAAATACGAAGACTTCGTTTCCAGAAGATCCAAGATGTCTCCTGGTAATGGCGAATACCAAACGTTTTGATAAACAATTGTCTTCACTTTAAGGTCATTCCTCACATTTGCATTGCGCATCCTTACTGCGCATAATTTATGGC